CCTTCCTGCTCCTCTGATGCTGCTTGGCCTGCTGTGTTCATCCAGCTGTACACCTTGTTATCTCAGATTCTCCAGCATCTGCAGTTCCTACAATCACAGGACTGAATGGTTTTATCAGTATTTGAGGGTGAGAACAATTATGTGTGACTCACTATACCCTCCAAAGGGATTCATGAGCTGAAAAATTCTGGATGTCAACGAGGCTGATGTTTCAGTTGTGCTGGTAATAACAGGACTAAGAGAATGGAAATTTGAACTTCCCCACACCCACTCCTCCATACCTGCTACTTGGCAAAAACAGATGTGTCAAAAAGGAGAGGGTGGATTTCCTGTTCCATTTACAGTCTGTTGTGATTTTAAAGTGCTCGACTCTTCAAGGGTTTGAGAAGCCTGTCTGAAAGTGGGATCCACATATGCAAACTGGCATTGTGTTACATCAATCAGACCCCCAACAACACCTTAACCAGAAAGTAAACAATGGGTCCTGACACCAAAACCTGATCACAGCAAGGAGTGACCCCTCCCTCCAAACCCTGGTAAGTTACTCCACCAAAGAAACTGTTTGCCGCCCCTACCCAACCAGAATCTCTAATACCTCCCGTACTGCGAGAATGACAGGCTGGCCCCAGACTTCCTAGCCTTCTGTCACTTACCACCATGGCTAGCAGTTGATCAGCTTCATGGGACTCAGCCCTGGAGTTAAAAATCAGCAGATTTTCTGCTGCCTCTACCACCTATGTAGCCGATGTCATCATTACTTAGCTGTAGCTTGCCCTGTAATGTCTGACATGGCTGCTTCCAGTGAACCATGAAGGAGGAGCACGCAAACTAATTATTCTGAAAGGGAGTCCATGTACACAGTTCCCATGGGACAATTTTATGAGCGTTACTCAGGAATATGTCCACTTGACTCACTTGTTACATTGATCATTATTATTGATGGTTTTCCTGGTATTTTATTTACATTTTACTTTATCTAGCTGAGCTGCTGGGAGAAGTCTAGTGTATACATTAAGAATTACATATACAAAATATATGTTGCTGCTAATTTGCATCTTGTCACAATAAATAAAGACATTGACATGTATACAGCCAGTCGTTTCTTCTGTGAGTTATTAATAATTATTTTATACTGGGGGACATAGCAAGATTATATTGTTAAAATGAAGTGCTAATTTGTAAATTTAGTACTTTTACTGCAAAGATTCAATTTCGAAACAAACATAAATTTTTGTAACTTTTTGTTACCCATGTCGAAGGGTGTGTGTAAAACAAAAGATGTCCAAAGTAAAATTCCCCCTAAACTGTTCCATCAAATACTGCTAAATCAGTGACATTATGGGTTAGATATAAAGCTCTAATTATACTGCACGTCACTGAATAAAAATTGTTGCCCCATATGGATTATTATTTAACAAAGACGCACTGGATCAGGGTTTCTCAACTTATTTGCTTTTGTGGCCCTACCAGAGTTATAATGTTTCCATGGATTTCCCGTCACAAAATTCATAACGTGACATTAATTTGGAAATCCCAAACAGCCCACTTCCTCTAGAACAAAAAAGGCACGTGTTGTAACAGAGGAGGCAGGCTGTGATGGTTAATGTGTTTTTGACCAGTGCAGAAGGATTGCTACTCTGCACTTAAACTTAATATAGTGCTGTGACCGAGACAGGAGGACTGCATTATGTCTCCAGCCCCATAGCTCCATGGGTCACTACAGAAACGAAAAATATATTTTCCAGTTACGAGATGGACTACTAAATAGCTTAGCTATATCAAATTTTAAATAAAAATTGTTTATCAAGGAGTTATCTTTATAAACACAATTATTTGTTTCTTACCAAAGCAAAAATGATTCAATGAGTTGTAAGAACTGGTTTACATACACCATGGGTATTAAGAAAGTATAAATGTCCGTATTCTTCCTTTTTTTTCAACTCGCAATGTCTTTGGCATTAGGAAAAGAGAAAAAAAATAGATTTCTCCCTCTGCAGAGGTTCCCTTTTTAAACAAAAACAGAAAAACAGTTTCCTCCCATTGAGGTTATTTTTGAAGAGATAAAGGATAAGAAGCAGAATATTCAAAAGAACTTTACAAGCTGAGGCTGGAGGAGTGCACTAATGCTCTGGTCTCGCTATTCCACCAGTCACAAAATAAGTCAAAAATAGATTTACCAGTTACTGAGATGACCAATTAAATACATTGACTCTATCAACTTTTTTTTCATGCATACAGGGCATGTAGGTGTTACTAACTACGCCAGCATTTATGCCCCATGTCTAGTTGCCCTTGAGAAGGCGGTAATGAACTGCGTTCTTGAACCACTGCAGCCCATGTGCTGTAAGTGGACCCACAGTGTTCATTTCAGTAACTCCCAAGATGTTGACAGTGGGGTATTCAGTGATGTTAACACCTTTGAATGTCGACAAATGATGGTTCGATTTTTTTATCCCTTTTGTTGGAGGTCATCATTGTCTGGCATTTCTGTGGTATGAATGTTACAAATATTTTTTAAAAATTATAGAATGATAATCTACTGGGTTTCTTAATAAACCAATAATAATGTTTATAATCAAAACAAAACTTACTCAGAGAAGATGCAATGATTAGTTAACATGTACAATTAGTAATGTGGAAGTATAAGTTGCTGATGCATCGAAATATCCCCAAAACATCCAAGCAAGCACATTCACTGAGGTTGTAGACTTGCTCGCTGAGCCGGTGTGTTTGATTGCAGACATTTCGTCAGCCTGCTAGGTAACATTGTAAGTGCACCTCCTGTGAAGTGTTGGTGTTCCATCCCACTTGTTATTTATATGCCTCGGTTTGCTGGAGTGGTTGGTATCACTTCCGGTTCTGTTCTTCGGTAGTTTGTATATCGGGTCCAGTTCAATGTGTTTGTTGGCAGAGTTCTGATTGGAATGCCAGGCCTCCAGGAATATCCTGACATGTCTCTGTTTGGCTTGTGCTATTATGGATGTGTTGCCCCAGTCGAGACATGCCAGGGAATTCCTGGAGGCCTCTCCCTGTCCCACAGACCCCTTCGTCCAGTTCCAACATTCTCCCTCCACCTGGTCCCCTCCCTCTGGCCTTTTACCTGGTCTCAATCTGTTCATTCAGAACTGTCAATGTGATTGATATTAGTCGCCTCAATTTCTCTGCCTCCCTCACCAAATCCAACCTGTCTCCCTCCGAACTGACTGCACTCCGTGCACTTAGATGTCACCCTGACTTTGTTATTAAGCCTGCCAATAAGGGTGATGCTGTTGTAGTCTGGCGTAATGACCTCTACATTGCAGAGGCTGAGCGCCTGCTCTCAGATACCTCCTCCTACCTTCCTCTGGACCATGACCCCACCATGACGCATCAGGCCATTGTATCTACTATGGTAACTGATTTCATTTCATCGAGTGACCTCCCCCCGCCACTGTCCCCCAGCCTCACACAGCTCACTTCTAACTCCTTCCAAAAATCCACAAACAGGACTGTCTGGGCAGACCCATTGTTTCAGCCTGCTCCTGTTCCCCAGAATCCATCTCTTCCTACCCTAACTCAGTCTTCTCTCCCCCCGGTCCAAACCCTGCCCACGTACATCCATGATTCCTCTGACACTTTACACTGGTTTCAAAACTTCCAGTTTGCAGGTTCCAGCTGCCTTCTCTTTACCATGAATGTGCAATCCTTTTACACATCCA